CCCGGGAGAGGCCCGCCATGTGCCCAGGCTAGCGCTGCGCCGCCGGCATGCTGCGCCCGCTGCTGTTCACTGCGCTCTGCCTGGCCGGCTGCCCCGCGCCCGCGCGCGCCTGCCAGCTGCCCTCCGAGTGGAGACCCCTGAGCGAGGGCTGCCGCGCGGAGCTAGCCGAGATCATCGTGTACGCCAAGGTGCTGGCGCTGCACCCGGAGGTGCCCGGCCTCTACAACTACCTGCCCTGGCAGTACCATGCCAGCCAGGAGGGGCTCTTCTACTCGGCGGAGGTGGAGATGCTGTGCGACCAGGCGTGGGGCAGCATGTTGGAGGTGCCCGCCGGCTCTAGGCTCAACCTCACCGGCCTGGGCTACTTCTCCTGCCACTCCCACACCGTGGTCCAGGACTACTCCTATTTCTTCTTCCTCAGGTGAGCCCCGCGCCTTCTGCGGGCGTGCGCCACTTCCCTGGGTCGCCTTACCCGCAGCTATGTCAGGTGCTCTCACAGACTGCTGTCCAGACAAATGAGCGTATGCCTTAGGTTCTTCCCCTTCGTTTTCTCTGCAAAGACCCTGGCCACCTCTGGCTAAGGCTGTTTTCCAAACAGGTGATTTTTGTGCGGAGTACAAAGGAGGGTGTTTCAGGCGAAAGCTCTCAGTGCTTTATCAACAACCCTGCTGACTCATTCAAAACAAAATAAAACAAAGCAAAAAACTAGCTTCCATGGGGAGCACCTTGGGATATTAAGACAACTATCCTCTGAAGCCAGTCTTGTCTTCGAGATTCTGTCTCTGCCTTTCCTAACTGGACCGAGGGCAATTTATTGGCCTTCTCAAGACACTCAGTCTTTTCACCTGCGTAAAGTGAGAAGTACAGCTGCTTGTGACTAAACTCAGTAGTGCATGCTGAGCACCTGGTGCAGGTAGATGCTTCACAGGTACTTCATCTCTCTCCTACCCATTGGCCTAAATGCTAGGGTGTGAATGGCAGGGAGTGCAGCCGACTGTCCTCTTGTTTCAATGTCTCCTATCAGGTACCACATTATTCAAAACAGCAAAAGTTTATGGGGGGTTCTGCTGGGGGGAGACCCCGGGGTTGCAGTGTTTTAGGACTGTAGAGGTGAATCAAGCAGAAAGGTCCTCTCTGATTCTAAACTGCTGAAATCTTGTCATGCTCCAGGAAAACTGGCCTGCGGTCCAAATGGAATGCATCTGTATAAGAATTCAGACAGTTCTTATTAACTACTGAATTCTACCCATTTAGAACAGCGGTCCTAAATGCAATGATTGTCTCCTGTTGAATTAGAGTGATTATGGGGCAGCTGAAACATCAAGATGGAATCTAACCTATGTTATCAAGGTAGTGAATTAATCCGCAGTTCTGCTAGGTGATCGTTGCAGTTCTCCCAGTCTGTGAAGTAGCACGGAGTATTTGGAATGATGTGGAGTTGGATCTGCAGATTCACTTTTAGCTCGCGTCGGTCTGAGAAAGAAAACAGTAACTTCCACGGAGTGCGTTCATCAGCTCACGGCAACCCCATGTTTTCCAGATTGAAGCCAGCATATCTAAGTTTAGAAAACATGCGCTGCTTTGTGTTGGCTTGAGTGGTTAGCTCGATTAAGCTCAATTTTTTATTGCCAGGGAAATATAGTTTCTAAATAAAGTCAGCAAGGACGGAGGGAGAGTGTATTTTGTCATACAGAAAAACTTAAGTCAGATTTTTCATGTTTTTATTTTGGAAAAATACTGAAGACTCAGCTATAAAACTATTCAACAATGAAACTTTAGTTTCCTAAAAGGAGCCTAAGTACTTGAGCAGACTGTATTTTTTTAAAAAACAGTTTTATTATGAGATACAATTTGTCCAGTAGTTCTGCGGTGGTTGGCCAACTCTTTCATCTTTTGCTCTAACATAGTTATGAAAGTTAGGGTGGAAATATGAGGTTGAACAGTAGTCTGACAGATTTTCACTTCACAGAGCTGTCTTAGTCTAAAGTGTGTTGACAACTGCGCAGAAACCATTCCTCCTTTGTTACTCTGGCCCACTGAGATGAGAACAGATCCTGGGCAATGTCAAGGAGATGGGGGTGGGGGAGGACGACTTACTGGTGAGCCCTTGTGACCCCACTTTGGGCTGGGATGTAACTTCTTTTTTCTTTTCAGATGTCTTTGTCTAACAAGTATTTTACACTAATTTCTGTGAAAAATGTTCAGTAGGATTTATACTGCACTCACTCTGTGCCAAGTGCTCTGTTTACTTACATACATTTAAAAATGCAATCCTTACAATACTACGAAGAAAGTAGGTAGTTATAATGCTCATTTGTTTGTTTGTTTGGAGAGGTTTTTGCTATAGGGTGCGTGTACTCGCCAGAAAGACAGAAACAGAGACAGAAAGTGAGAATCCACCCCCCAAGGGGGATAGCCACACTGCAATCCCTTCTCCTCCATTCTCTTCTTGGGATCTTGGGCACACATGCACACGGGCCCAGTGTGAGTTTAAGCCACTGGGTCTGGGGCTTGAACTGCGGTTGACTACATGGGAGTCCAGCAACATAGCCAACTACTGGTCCCTTTTTTTCTTTTTTTTGAATACTGAGACCCAGAGAAATTAAGAAACCTGAGGCCAGGTGGTGATGCAGTGGTGATGCAGCTGGATCCCTCGTGGGAAAGGTCCCATGCTCATATTCTGGGACCTCTCTGAGCACACCAGTGCACATGCACTGCCTGTGATCGGGCTGACAAAAACTGGGGGTGGATATGGCTTGTAGACTCTTTTGGGTGTACCTCTATCTCATGGAAGAAATAAATGAATAAACTTTAGAAAGTCTGTTTCAGGTCATACAGAAGTCAGGTGGCAATGGCAAGGCTTGAACCCAGGTCCTTTATTATTATTATGGTTTTTGCCATTGGGCATGTGTGCTTGCTGGAGAGAGACAAAGACAGTGAGAGGGAAAGTGAGAAATCACCCCCCAGGGGGATGGTAATGCTGCAGTCCCTTCTCCTTCATTCTTCTCTTGGATTTTGGGCATGAATGCACAAATGTCCAGCATGATTTCCAAGCCGCCAGGTCTGAGACTTGAACTATGGTTGGCCATGTGAGAGTCCAGTGCCTTAACCACTATGCCATCTGCTGAACTCAGGTCTTTTTAATTGGCCTTCCTTTTACCAGGAAATGAGGAACATTGTCTGTGACAAGGGAAGTCCCTTGGGGTGGCTTAGAAGATACACAAACATACACACTGTATATACACTCCCCCCCACACACACACACTTTGCCCAAAGTCTTTTATAATTTTTTTATTTTTGTTTGCTAGAGGGCATGTGTGCTCACTGTAGAAAGACAGAAGGAAAGTGAGAAAGTACCTCCCATGGGGAATAGTCACACCACAATTCCTTGTCCTCCATTCTTCTCTAAAGATTTTGGGCAGGCATGCACATGCACCCAGTATGTTTTTTCAACCATGCAATCAGCCACATGGGACCCAGCCATCTTAACCACCATACCATTGGCTGACCCCTAAAGTCTTTTGGAAAACCTTAAGGATGGACTCAAGTAGGCAGAGAAATTACCAGAAATAGTAACTACAGTAGTTCTTCCAACCTCTCCTAAGATAGTATCATGCCATTGCCAAGCTCATCACAGACTGCTATGATTCTTTTTTTTTTTTTTTTTTTTGGGGGGGTTTTTCTTAAAAGGATGGGACCCCCCCACACAGAACA